GCTCCCGCTCGATTTTTCCTCGCGATTCACCCTTAGACGAGGCTTCCGCTCGAGAATTCCTGTATGCAGTCGGGCCGCTGAAAGAAGGAACGCTAAGTAAGGAACGAGGCCCCTTCTTGGCCCTGTAAGCGCCTCCGTGGCCCCAGGAGGGCCAGAGGAACAGCACTGCAAGAACCTGAGGAACATCGAGCCCCTTCCGAGCCCAAACTGTTCCTTATTTCAGCGTCCTGACTGTATTCAGGCCTGAGTTTAGTGGGCCCTGGAAACGACAAGGCCGTTTTTTTACCGGTTCCGTTTTGCCGTTTTTGTTGCCGGTTTCGACGCCGTTTTTGTTACCGGTTCCGTCGCCGTTTTTGTTGCCGGTTCCGTCGTCGTTCTTTTACGGGTTCCCGCTCCGGTTCCAATCCTGGAGCCGTTTTTGTTGCCGTTTCCGGTCGCCATTTTTTTGCCGTTTCCATTTTCAAGGGGCACCTTTTCGGAAACGGTGAAAAAAACAGCCCTGCCGTTTCCGGGGCCCACAAAGGGCCTGAGGGGCCCAAAAAGGACTGGATGACCCAGATTTGACCATGGAGGCGGGGACCCCGAAAGGCTTGAGCTTTCTTCGCGATTCACCCTTAGACGAGGCTTCCGCTCGAGAATTCCTGTATGCAGTCGGGCCGCTGAAAGAAGGAACGCTAAGTAAGGAACGAGGCCCCTTCTTGGCCCTGTAAGCGCCTCCGTGGCCCCAGGAGGGCCAGAGGAACGGCACTGGAAGAACCTGAGGAACATCGAGCCCCTTCCGAACCCAAACTGTTCCTTATTGCAGCGTCCTGACTGTATTCAGGCCTGAGCTTAGTGGGCCCTGGAAACAACAAGGCCGTTTTTTTACCGGTTCCGTTTTGCCGTTTTTGTTGCCGGTTTCGACGCCGTTTTTGTTACCGGTTCCGTCGCTGTTTTTTTGCCGGTTCCGTCGTCGTTCTTTTACGGGTTCCCGCTCCGGTTCCAATCCTGGAGCCGTTTTTGTTGCCGTTTCCGGTCGCCATTTTTGTTGCCGTTTCCATTTTCAAGGGGCACTTTTTCGGAAACGGTGAAAAAAACGGCCCTGCCGTTTCCGGGGCCCACAAAGGGCCTGAGGGGCCCAAAAAGGACTGGATGACCCAATCGGATTTGACCATGGAGGCGGGGACCCCGTAAGGAAAGGGCTCCCGCTCGAGGTTTCCTCGCGATTCACCCTGAGAGGAGGCTTCCGCTCGAGAATTCCTGTATGCAGTCGGGCCGCTGAAAGAAGGAACGCTAAGTAAGGAACGAGGCCCCTTCTTGGCCCTGTAAGCGCCTCCGTGGCCCCAGGAGGGCCAGAGGAACGGCACTGGAAGAACCTGAGGAACATCGAGCCCCTTCCGAACCCAAACTGTTCCTTATGTCAACGTCCTGACTGTGTTCACAGTGGAACAAAAAGTGGCATAAACATAGAAACTTGGAGGTCCGCGCGGACCTCCGAATTGTTATGTTTAGGCCACTTCTTGTTCCCCTAATTCAAGCCTGAGGAGCCCAAAAAAAGAACTGGATGACCCAGGCGGATTTGACCATGAGGGGCGGGGACCCCACAGGGAGAGGGCTCCCGCTCGAGACCTCCCCCGCGGTTCCCCCTCGCGGACGAGGCATTCGCTGGCGAGCTCCTTTAGCCTTTGGGTGGCCCGCTCGGGTTTGGACACGGAGGTGGGACCCCATAGGGAGGAGCTCCCGCTTGAGACTCCCTCGCGATTCGCTTGTAGTCGGACTCGATTGGACAGGTCAGGCGAGAGGACACAAGCCCCATCCGCGGTCCACATTGCCACAGGAATGTAGGAGACATGGGTCGCAAGACACAGGACACGAGGGTACCCTTGATCTGGAAGGGTCGACCTACTAATCCGGGCCGCCTGTATAGACGAGGCTCCCGCTCGAAAGTCTCTCCAGGTTCCGACCTGAGGAGGCCCAAAACTTGACAACTATTACAGTTGGATGGCCCGCTCCGATTCAAACATGGAGGCGGGGACTCCATAGGGAGATGGCTCCCGCTCCAGAATGCCTCGCGACTCACTCACAGACGAGGCTCTCGCTCGAGACGTTCATCGAATTCAGGCCCGAGAGCCCAAATGTGATGGAAAGCATTCACAAGATTTGAAATGTCGGCTCGGACTCGAACATGGAGGCGAGAACCCCATGACTAGGGAGGGGGTCCGGCTCGAGACATCCTCGAACATGAGTGCGCGAGCGTGTGAGTGTGTGAGTAAGTGTGTGTTTGTGCTGTGATGATGATGATGATGATGATGATGATGATGATGAGGATGAGGATGATGATGAAGGTGATGGTGTTGTTGATGATGCTGTGATAGTAATACTGTAGCTAATGAAGAATATGATACTAATGATCATGATGGTGATGCTGATGATGATGTTGATGTTGAGGATGGTGATTATGTTGATGATGATGATGATGCTGGTGATGATGATTATGATGCAGTTAATGTTGCTGCTGTTGTTGATGATGATGGTGACGACGATGATGATGATGCTGGTACCGATGATGATGGTGGGTGTGAAGATGATGCTGCTGTCGTTGATGATGATGACGATGACGGTGATGCTGATGATGCTGATGATGCTGATGCTGCTGTTGTTGCTGATGATGACGATGACGGTGATGCTGAAGGTGATGCCAATACCTCTGATGCCGATGAAGATGCTGATGATGATACTGAGCTTCATGGTGAACACCACCATGATGGTGATAATGCTGGTGATGGACATGGAGATGGAGAGGGAGAGGGAGGTGAAGATGATGATGACGACGACGATGATGCTGACGACGACGACGACGACGATGATGATGATGATGATGATGCTGATGATGATGATGATGATGAAGATGATGCTGATGATGATGATGGGAATAAGGAGAGGAGAAGGAGGCGATGGCGATGATAATGCTGCTGCTGCTGCTGATGATGATGATGATGAGGAGGAGGAGGAGGAGGAGGAGGAGGAGGAGGAGTGCAGGGGGGTGGTAGGTTCTTGCCCAGGGTCTGCCACGGAGAACAAAGAGCCCACTCGGGACGTGGAGGACCGCGGCCCGCGCTTCGCGCGGACGTCTTGGATTATGTCGGGCCTGTCCCCCCACAGGGGGATTTTCGACGAAAAATTCAGAAATACCCCCCCAAAAGTGAAAACATAGCCCGAAAATAGTCTGGGGACTGTTTTGTTGAGTCTTTGTTGACCTTCTGGGGGTAGTTTTGGATCTTTTTACTTTGTCGTCGAGGATCCCCCTGTAGGGGGACGGGCCCGACTTAAAACCTTGGATCGGCGCTGCACGCGCCCCCCTCTCCGAGGCGCGCGGAGCCCGCCAGGGGGGCAGCGCGCCGGAGGCACCGCGCCGAGGAGGCCCCACGCCGCCGCTACGAGCACTGCGCGCGCGGGAGGTCCCCCAGGGCTCCTGCCTGCAGTGGGGGGCCCGACCACAAGAAGCCCAACCCTGAGGAGGAGGAGGAGGAGGAGGAGGAGGAGGAGGTGGGAGGAGGTGTGAGAGGAGGAGGAGAGGGGGGAGGGAGAGAGGAGGAGGAGGAGGAGGTGGGAGAAGAGGGGGGAGGAGTAGGAGGAGGAGGAGGAGGAGAGAGGAGGAGGAGGAGAAGGAGGAGGCGGACCTCCCCATCCTCCCTTCTCCTCCGTCCTACCTGTGGCAGCGGTGGTGGAAAATATAGGCCCATCAGTACAGTCTCTTCGGCCGCTCCAGCCTCGCACAAGAAACCCAGCCCTGGGACCCCAGGACGTCCATCGATTTTTGGTGCGGGAACGTCGCGCTCTCCACCGCAAGACCATCGAAACTCAAGAAACCCAGGGCACCCTGGAGGCAAGCAGGGTGTTTATTGGCATGGGCCCCCACTGTATGTCATGTGGGCAGCTCCGGAGACTGAAGCAGAACATGATGCCAACTCTTTGAAGGGGCCCTGTACACACAAATAAAAGGATTCCCCATATTTTCCCTTCTGTTCTGGGCTTTGGTCTTCCCCCCGCACTTCCCATATTTCCCTGGGGATCGACGATTAATGGTGTCTGTGTGGCTTTTCTCCTCCTGACTCTTGGGGGTTCACTTCCGCCAGCGGAGGCGGCCTCTCTCTGCTCCCGCGGGCCACCGCCGAACTTCCGTCGCCGTCTGCCAAGGAAAAGATGTTCACTCTGTTCTGGAACACCGAAGGGGCCCTGGGACACGCAAACAAATAGACACAAATAACAGGATTCCCCATAGTTCCAAATATTTACTGGGTGTTTGCCTTCCCCCCCCACTTCCCATATTTTCCCATATTGTCTTGGGAATCGACGATTAATTCTGTCTGTGTTTTTTGTTCCCTCCTGAAACACCTCTTCTCTTTTTCCCCAGCGTGGGAAAACCAAAAGGTATGATACCCCCCCGGGACCCCCCCCGGACCTCTCAAATGCTGCGTCCTGACCCGGCCCGGGGCCCGAGGCGAATCCGGCGGTGGCGACGAGGGCCTCCCCCAGGAGGCCCTACGCAGGAGAGCACGAGGCAAGAGGTAGCGGCATGAACACCTTCTCCTCCCCCGATGTCCTGTCGGGCGTTGGCAGAACGAGGTTTAGTGGAACCTGGTTTAGTGATTTGTACCGGGGGCGCCCCCCCCCGCCCCATTCCCACTGACCGGGACTGCCGTCACCTGAAAAACACACTAGTTGCGGCAAACCTGGTTCAGTGAATCTGGCCCTGGCCGTCGCTCGGACGTCCATTTCCTGTGTTTTTCTTTTGGTTTCGTGCGTGGCTCCTTCACCAAATGATCGAGAACGCTCCTCGATGGTCCTCGCCGGAGGAAAAACGCACACGTCCGAGCGATGCCAAGGGCCCACTGAGGGGCCCCAGGGCCCTACCACTGACCGGGCCCCCTCGCCCGGGGTCCTGGCCATACCCGATGCCCTGCCTCCCCGAACGACAGCGACAGCGACAGAGGCCAGGGCGACGCCGGCGCGCACGCCGCCTCCACGACCAGGCCGCCGGCCCCCGCGCGCCGGCCCTCCGCGCAGAGGCGCGCGAGGGAGGCCGCGAGCGCGCCCGCGCCGCCAGGCCTGTGCGGCGCGGCGCCGCGCGCGCGCCGCGCGCACGAGCGCGCCGCTCGCCGCCTCCGCGGCTACCTCGCCATCGCTCGGACGTCCATTTCCCGTGCAGTTTTCGGTTTCGTGCGTGTGTGTGTTTTTTGCTCGGTGGTCCAGGATGGTCCTGGATGGTCCTCGCCGAGAAACAAAATGCACACGTGCGAGCGATGCCAGGCTACAGGACGCCAGAGTTCCGAGGAGGAGGTGCCCGCACTGCTGCTTTGTCCCTCGCTTTCCCCTTGCTGCAGAGGGCAGGAGAGCCGCCCAGGTAATGACCACCCCGACGCGCGAAACCGTTTCGGAAGCGCACGCAAAGAAGGAATCAAACAGGGCAGGGCTGTTTAGGAAGCGCCCGGAGCCGTCTCGTAAACGCCAAATGTCCGGTCTGGGTGGGTGTTCGCTCCCCTGATTCTGGGCCCCCTGGGAGGCCCGCGCCGCCACCGCTGGACCCGCTTCGGTGCCCTGGTCAGACGGCACCCCGGGAGAGAGGTCCAGGGAGCCAGCGGTCTCGGTGCCCTGGTCGAGGGTGGGCGCGAGATCCTCGTCGACCGTGGTGTATTATCTAGGAATAAACACCAGCCTACAGGGCAGTTTTTAAGACATCGGATGTTTAGGAATACTGGATGTTAATACATGATCAGTTTATGAATCAATTTATGCATGAACTCATCGTTGCGTTTAATGCTAAAACCTGCATGTTTAACACATGATCCGCACGCGGAGCATGTAGTAAAAACGGCACTGTAGGTTCAGTGAGGTCCATCCTGTCCTGGGCAGATGGCACCCCGGGAGAGAGGTCCAGGGACCCTCGGCGGTGGACAAACCTCCCTTTAGTAAACCTCCCATTAGGGAAAACGGCCTAGGACCGAAACCGACGGACCTTAACCCGCAAAAATAACGGCCGCGACGCCCTCTCGCGAACCGAAAACGGCCAGCGGTCTCGGTGCCATTTTTTTGGGGGGCCCCCGCAGGGTGGCCCCCTGCGTGCACACGTGGCTTTGCGGTGCGCGGCCTTCGGGTCAGGCCGGCCTTTTTCCTCCTGCAGGCGGATTATGGGCGAAAACGCAAGTGGTCAAAACGCATTCCAACAAAAAAAACATCCCCCCCTCCTCCTCCTCCTCCTCCTCCTCTCCCCTCCTCCCTCCTCCTCCTCCTCCTCCTCCTCCTCCTCCTCCTCCTCCTCCTCCCTCCTCCCCTCCTCCTCCTCCCCCCTCCCCCCTTCCCCTCCTCCTCCTCCTCCTCCTCCACCTCCTCCTCCTCCTCCTCCTCCTCCTCCTCCTCCGCCTCCTCCTCCGCTACGTCTTCATTTACCTCCGACGTCTTATCACGCATCCCGTCCCCCTCCTGGGCCGAGGTATCCAGGGTCGGCGGCACTGGCCGTAAGGCCTCAGCAATAGTCAAAGATCATTCCCAAATAATCAAATAATAATAAACTAAAACAAACCATCCTCCCCAGGCTATCTAGAAAGATAGATTTGAATAGTCCTCCCGTCGAGGGACATGCCCGACTCAACCTTAAGGGGGCTGCACAGGGCCAGGACCGAGGGCGCTGTGGCCGCTGCTACGTATCGCATCTCGCTCAGCGGTCGGTAGGTCCCCGCGGGCCCGCGCCAGAGGTCACTCCAGCAAATCTCGAGAACAGACTGGCCGTCCTGGCATTCCGAATAGGCCTACCACGAGATGGGCTCAGGAACCCAAGCGTGCTCTGAGAGCAGAAGCAATGTTCTGAGAGAATCAGTTTGATGTGGGAAAACGTAGCAGTCTCAGCAAGACATGCTCCAAACACATTTCGTGCAGATTACAACAGTGGAGGGGCCCTGGGACACACAAATAAATAGACACCAATAACATGATTACCCATATGTTCGCGTATGTTCTTGGTTTGTGTCTTCCCTCCGCCACTTCCCATATGTTCCTGTATCTCCTGGGGATCGACGATTCCGTGTCTCTGTGTGCTTTTTCCTTCCTGAAGAAGAAAGGTCCTCAGAACATCACCCGGTGGGCCTGCCGGCGAGCCAGGACGCCTTCGCCCCCTGCTCCAGCGAGGGGTCCCTCCTGCGCGCAGTCCACCTCCGCAGAGCTCTCGAGCCGTGGGGGTTCCCCTCGCTCTGCGGCCCGCAGGGGGGCCGTCCTCGCCTTCCTCTTCCTCCTCCTCCTCCTCCTCCTCCTCCTCCTCCCCGAAATGGGTACGGAAAGAATGGGTACAATGCCCAACAACAGATGTTGTCCCAAACTAGCAGCGGCCGCTGTTGGGCAGGCGGCCTTCTGTCTCGAGTGGACACAGGCGGCGGCGGCGGCGTGGGCAGCGAGTCCTGTTCAAGATGAGCAGGAACTCTTGTTGGGCTTCGTACCCATTCTTTCCGTGCCCATCTCGTGCGTGCAGACTCGCGCCCCTGGACGCCTTGAAAAACGGCACCGGGGGGCGAACAGGAGAACTACAGTCGGGGCGCTGACCTAAGGAACCCTAAGGAAGGAACGAGGCCCCTTCTTCCCATGCGTAAAACTTCGATGTCCCATGGGGAGCCCCAGGAAACTGCTAAACAATCAAGGGACACCGAGCCCCTCCCCAACGTAAAGGGTTCCTTCTTCAGCGCCCCGACTGTACGCCCCGGGCAGGGGGGCTCGGAGGCTCCAAGGAGGGGCCCCCTGCCACGCCCTCCTCGCAGACGCCGCGCCTGGAGCACAGCAGGCTCACATGTCGCCACACGTCCGGGCCCCGAGGCTGTCCTGGCCGCTCCCGCCGCGTGCCCCCGCACGCCCGCCGCCGCCCTCGCCGCCCTCGCCGCGTGCCCCCCGCGCGCCGACGCCCTCTGCGAAGGGCCGGCGGCCGCGGCCGCGGCGGCGGCGGCAGCGCGCTCTCCTGTCTCATTGATATCTCGGTGACGTCCACTCGGCTTGACGACTTCTGCCGTCTCTCGGCTCGCGCTGCATCTGCCGCGACTTCTGTGACGACCCGGACAACTCGGGGTTCACCCCGATACGTCTGGATGTGTTCCATCGGTTCACATAAGATGCATCTCAACTTATCGGGCCACACCACCGCAAGTCGTCAGTGGAGCAGGGACCGACCGTCCCGGCATTCCTATAGTCATACCACGAAATGTTCTTAGAACCCAACAATGTCCGAAGAACCAAAACAATGTTTTCAAACATAAGCCCGATATGCTGAAACAAGACAGTCCCAGCTAGAACTGTTCCAAGAACATTCCGTGGAGACCACACAAATGGTTCTCAGAACACTGTCTGGTAGGGCCATAGGCGAGCCAGGACGCTGCGCCACTGCTCGAGTCAGGAGAAGGGCCGCTGAGCCCTGAGGGGCAGCGGGGGCCGATGGCGCCGCGCTCGCGCCGCCTGCGCCGCCGCCCGGATGCACGCGGAGGAAGGGAAGCAGGGGGAGGAGGAGGAGGAGGAGGAGGAGGAGGAGGATGAGGATGAGGAGGAGGAGGAGGAGGAGGAGGAGGAGGAGGAGGAGGAGGAGGAGGACGAGGAGGAAGAGGAGGAGGAGGAGGAGGAGGAGGAGGAGGAGGAGGACCGCGTTTTTGCACCGCCGTCTGCCGCTCGCAGCAGCGCACCGGGGGCAGGCGGCAGCCACACGGGCCGGCCACGGGCCGAGGGCCACGGGCCGCGAGCCCGGAACTCCACGGCAACTTTTTGAAGGGGCCCTGGGACACACACACACATAAATACACACACACATAAACATATTCCCCATATGTTTCCATATCCTCGGGGTGTTCGTCTTCCCCGCCACTTCTCATATTTTCCCATACTTTCCTGGGAGTGGACGATGGATTGTGTGAGTGTGTTTTTTCCCCTCCTGAACTTTGACCGGCCATGACTCATGGCGCACCCCTGAGAGTAACAAAGCTCAGGGACGCGGTCCGCGAACTGCTCTTGCGACTCCACGGTGCCGTGGGAACCGATTGCATGAGTGCCCCCGCCAGTGAGCCCTGAATTAAGAAAGGCATCACAGAACAAGCAGCTCAGATGATGCAGTAAATTCGAATGGCCACGAATGGCCCTGAGCTTCCGCCTCTCGGGAAATCACATGACGAGTTGATTCGCGCGCGGATCGACAAACCCTGGGCAACAAGATGCCGCCACGAGGCCTCCAAAAGGCCCCCAGGAAGCCCCGCAACAAACGCGTCGACAAACCAGCCACAACTGCGCGCAGACACCACGACGGGAGACGACAAACAACATTTCAGACATCTGAAACCTTACATCTCCTCATCATGGGGGCCTGCGGAATGGCGCAGGCCGTGCAACACAAAAGATATCTGCTGCTGGTGACGCGGGCTGCTAGGCGAGCACGATCACCGATCCACCGGGCGAGGCACGCCAAAGCAGTGGGAAGGCACGAAGGAGGGGACACCATACTACTACTACTACTACTACTACTACTACTACTACTACTACTACTACTACTACTACTACTACTACTACTACTACTACTACTACTACTACTACTACTACTACTACGACTACTACTACTGCTACTACTACTACTACTACTACTACTACTACTACTACTACTACTACTACTACGACTACTACTACGACTACTACTACTACGACTACTACTACTACTACTACGACTACTACTACTACTACTACTACTACTACTACTACTACTACTACTACTACTACTACTACTACTACTACTACTACTACTACTACTACTACTACTACTACTACTACTACTACTACTACTACGGTTGTCCGGGGTTCTTGTTCTGCTTTAAGAGGGTGTAGAGGGTGTAAGGGTTCGGGTTCGGGTTCGGGTTCGGGTTCGGGAGAACGCCCCCAAAAAAACAAAAACAAACATATAATGCATACGTGCATACATATATATATGTATATATATATATATATAATATATATATATATATATATACACACACACTAGAACCAGGGGTGCTTTCGGGGGCCTCTTGGGGTGTTTTCGGGGGCCTCTTGGGAGCCTCTTGGCGCCTCCTGGGGCCTCTTGGGGCCGAAAGCTCGGAATTCGAGAACGGCTTTCTCCCTCTGGGGCCCTCTCGGGCCCGTCTTGGGGCTCTCTTGGGCCATCTTGGGGCCCTCTTGGGCCGTCCTGGGCCCCTCGTGGGCCGTCTTGGAGCCCTCTTGGGGACCTCTTCGGCCGTCTTGGGACGCGGTGAAAGCTGAAGAAGCGAACCTCCGAACAAATATAGGTTTTCCCACTAGGAATGGTACGATGTTTGCTTATTGGGGCTCTCTTGGAATGCCTCTTGGAGTGTCTTGGGGTGCTTCTGGGCCCTCCTGGTATAATGGTCGGCGTCTTGGAAGGCGTCCGAAGCCATCGGAGCGCGCTTTCGACCTACACGATCCAAGCCTCTCCGGATCTTGTCGGCTGTAAGAATTCAGAAGCGCAGAGAAACCGGGGCATCTAAACGTCCACGCCGAGAATCTCCGCTCCTACACGACCCCATGCTCTCCGAAACATGTCGGCTGCAAGAATTCAGGAGCGCAGAGAAACCGGGGCATCTAAACGTCCACGCCGAGAATCTCCGCTCCTCCTACACGATCCCATGCTCTCCGAAGCATGTCGGCTGCAAGAATTCAGGAGCGCAGAGAAACCGGGGCATCTAAACGTCCACGCCGAGAATCTCCGCTCCTCCTACACGATCCCATGCTCTCCGAAGCACGTCGGCTGCAAGAATTCAGAAGCGCAGAGAAACCGGGGCATCTAAACGTCCACGCCGAGAATCTCCGCTCCTACACGATCCCATGCTCTCCGAAGCATGTCGGCTGCAAGAATTCAGGAGCGCAGAGAAACCGGGGCATCTAAACGTCCACGCCGAGAATCTCCGCTCCTCCTGCACGTCCCATGCTCTCCGAAGCATGTCGGCTGCAAGAATTCAGGAGCGCAGAGAAACCGGGGCATCTAAACGTCCACGCCGAGAATCTCCGCTCCTCCTACACGATCCCATGCTCTCCGAAGCATGTCGGCTGCAAGAATTCAGAAGCGCAGAGAAACCGGGGCATCTAAACGTCCACGCCGAGAATATCCGCTCCTCCTACACGATCCCATGCTCTCCGAAGCATGTCGGCTGCAAGAATTCAGGAGCGCAGAGAAACCGGGGCATTTAAACGTCCACGCCGAGAATGTCCGCTCCTCCTTGACGATCCCAGGCTCTCCGAACCTCTTCTACCACGATCCCAGGCTCTCCGAACCTCTTCTACCTACGTGCCACAAGCCCCTCCGAGCCCCTCGCAATGGCGCCGAACACCTCTGGGGCTCACCCCTCCCCTCTCAATGGATCCTCTTGGACCTGAGCAGGAGGAGGAGGAGGAGGATGTGGAGGAGGAGGTGGAGGAGGTACGACGCCTCACTCATTGAATTCCTCCTGCTTCTCCTCTCCCCTCCCCTCCCCTCCTGCCCTCCCCTCCCCTCCCCTCCTTCCCTCCTTCCTTCCCCTCTCCGCTCCCCTCCCCTCCTCTCCTCTCCTCCCCTCCTCTCTCCTCCGCTCCAGCCCTTCCCTCCCTTTCTCCCATCCCTGACTCCATCTGCGACCTCATCGATACCCTCGCTGACCCTCGTGCCGATCAAATATTTACTCTCTCATTACCCCGAGGTCGACCTAATCGTCGACGTATCGTCCACCCTTCTGCCTCCACCACCCCGCTGGGTCCCTAAGAACTCCAAGACGCATGGGGCAGGGCGAATCTGCCCATCACCAACAAGTCAACACCTTCGATGCTACGATCCCCGTGAGAGAAGCGGCAGACCCGCATCAAGTCCCGAGCCCTTGCAAATAAATACAAACAAAGCTGGAAGGTCCGCACCCCAATGGCTACGAACCCTCGTCAAATACGGCCCAAACATGGCACAACATTGCTCAAGATGCGTGCAAGACGTCTTTGGGACGGCCCAACCGGCCACCGAAGCGGTCCAACCCTGCTTTGCGAGGCCTTTCCAAGAAGAGCCCAGGAAAACGCGAACTATTCGTTTCCATTTGCTTCTTGAACGAATTGGGACACCTCGCCGGTTCGGCCCCCCGACGCTCCACAACGGCTCGGAGAATCCCCAGGACGACTACCAAACGGCCGAAGATCCCCCCCCGCGAAGAAGGCCCCGAGGCGTTCCAAGAGAATCTCCAAGCCGCCCTCCTCCTCCTCGTACTCCTCCTCCTTCTCGTCCTCACCATCCTCCTCATCCTACTGCATATCTGCTGCTCATATTCCCCTCCTCCTCCTCCTGCCTCTCCTCCTCCTCCTCCTCCTCCTGCCGAAGACTGCGGCAAAACGGCCCCAACAGAAGAGCCCCACCAAAGAAACGGCAAGCCGCATATTCAAGCTTCCTGCCTCGAGAAAGCCAGCGCCGCCACAAGAGGCCTTCAGGAGGCCACAAACATAGAAACCATTGAAACTCGAGTGGTTTTGAAGCGCGTGGGACTTATCGCTCCAGAGGCCCAAGAGGCCCCAGGGCGGCCTAAGAAAATGCCCAAGACGGCCAGAAACGTTCCCGAAGACGGCGCCGCAAGCCGAAAACGCAAGCCTTCCGTGCCGAGAGGGCTCCCGGAGGCTCCACGACGAGCTCTGTAGGCCCGATAGGACCACTCCTAAGAGGCATCGTGGCTTCTATTCGTCTCTCTTTTTGTTGATTGCTCTCTCTCTCTCTCGGTGTGCCTCGGTCTCTCTGTGCACCAAGGACCTCCCAAAGCAGAACATGGACCCCGGATTCCCCTACTACTACTACTACTACTACTACTACTACTACTACTACTACTACTACTACTACATCTACATCTACATCTACATCTACATCTACTACTACTACTACTACTACTACTACTACTACTACTACTACTACTACTACTACTACTACTACTACTACGACTACGACTACGACTACGACTACGACTACGACTACGACTACGACTACTACTACTACTACTACTACTACTACTACTACTACTGTAGTGCGACCAGATCAGAAGGATGCGCAATATGGATGCAAGGCCACTGGACGCCGAAGTCGAAGCTGGAGGCTCCTGGCCCCAGATTCGGGGATGCGACTATACCCTTGGAAGGGTCCGCTCGGAGCAAGGCGGATTGAGACAACGGCAGCTCAAGATCGGCCTCCGAACCCGTCCCAGGGCCCAGGCGCGCAAGTTGTTCGAACTGATTCCAGCCAGTGGCGATGAAGAGCGCCCTCCCCGAAGGCCATCTACTACAGTCGGACCTAGGACAGAAGAACATCCACCACGATCACAAGACCCTCGGCTAGCCAAAACACACAGAACATCCGAGAGTGCCCTCTCCAGGGTGCACAAAAAGTACATCCAACAGACACGAAGAGCAGTAGGACATCCTCTCCAGACCGACCTCGATCTGATACCTCGGTCCGACTGTACGTTTGTCTTGACTGGTCCTCCTCTGGTTTGCATCCCTGTGGCGCGGCTTGACTACAGTGGAGGCCCGTCGACAAGAGACCTCCCACAAGAAAACCAACCCTGAGACCCCAGGACGCCCATTGAATTCTGGTGTGGGAACGCCGCGGTCTCGACAGCAAAACCATCGAAACCCAGGAAACCCAGGGCACCCTGGAGGCAAGCAGGGTGTTTTTTTTTGGCATGGGTCGCTGAAGGGGCCCCAGGACACACACATAAAAACACACACATAAAACTATTCCCCATATTGTCTCATATTTTCCGGGTTTTTGCCTTCCCCCCCACTTCCCATATTTTCTCATATTTTCTTGGGAATCGACGATTAATTGTGTCTGTGTGTTTTTGTTCCCTCCTGAGTCTCCTCTATACGTCAAGCGTTGCCAACTATGCCCATAATTCGCACTGCGGGGCCTCGGCGCCACGAAGGGCGGCGCGCCCACCAGAGCGGCGGCCGCCTCCCCAGCGTCGGCGCCGTCGGGGGCGTCGGCGACCTCTGCCTCGCGTCGCGCTTCGAGAAGACATTGCCTTCACCAGAAGCCACAGTGCCAAACATCACGCCCTCACGGCGCCTCCTGTGCTAGATTCAGGGGCACAGCTTGGTTACATTGATGCGTGTTGTATAACATGTATAAACGTATATATATATATACACACTATATATACACGTACATATATAGTACGTTTATACATATGACAACATGTATAGGTGTGTGTGTGTGTACGATTCCGGCCCACACCGTGATGCGCGATTACCTTCGCGCCGTCGTGGCCGACCGAGCGCAACGCAACACCCTCGCTCATAACCAGCACGGATCGCATGCACTGGAGAGCAGCGCGTGAAGGCGCGCGGACAGGGCCTGACTGCCCATCAGGGACGGGCGATCCACAAACCCATAACTACCCCCCTCAAAAAAAAACGGAGCATGGCTTTGCAACGCCGCTGGAGATCTTCGCGCGAACTGCCAGCCAGCGCAAAATCATACGAACCCGTTGGTCGCAGGTGGTCTGACGGTGTTTTCCCTCTCTTCCAAAACCCGTTCATTGTTCCAGATAGAGAAACACACCCATCCCCACCCGATCGGGGGAAAACCTAGAGCCACGATAACCCCCCCCCACCAACCCTGTCAAAAAAAACAAAACACGCTTCGTCGCAGCCGCGAGCGAAGGCGCACGCCGCGTCAGAGGTCAACCCGGGCGACGGGCGAAGCCTACTCCAGATTTCGTACTAAAGGGAGGGGGTCTCATTTCGGGGGGGGTCTCTTCCAGGCTATCTTGGAGGGCTTGGGGGGGTCTGGGGACTATGTTTTGGAGGGTTCTCCCACGGGGGGCGTCTAAAGCTTCTCGTCTGGGAGGGTCCAGACCCCCTCCCTTTTATTACGAAATCTGGAGAAGGCGGCCAGCGCGCGGGGAACCCAGAGGCGGGGCCGCCGGGAACAGGACGAACGGAACCTCGTCGCACCCGGCGCCAGGAGGTCGGCGCGCCACGAGCGCGGCGAAGCGCGGGGCTGCATGAGTCCAGCGTGCCAGGCTGCGGGCCAGCGGGGACGACGAAGACAAGAGACGCTCCGCGGCAGAATTTGAGTCGTGCGCGGGCACCAGGGCGATCACTGCTCATATTTTTCCCAGACGGGGGCGAGGCGTGAGTTGGTGTGCTCCCTGCTGCGCGCAGTCCCCCCGTCACCCCTGTGAACAAACGACACGGACCCCGTTGCTTCGAGGAGGAGGAGAAGGAGGAGGACCTACCGAAACCTTCGGCGCTTGCTTACGCAGTCGATGCTGCTTGTTGCTGTGGCCGGCCGGAGCTCGGCGCGCGCGCCGCCGCTGACAAGACGCCGTCACGCGGTCGGTGCTGCACTTTACTCTATCTGCGTTCTGTCCCGCTCTGCTCCGCTATGCTCACACCCTCGCCTATTGCATCGTTGCCTTCTTCCTCTGCTGGCTCCTCCTCTCCTCCTCCGTGATTCTCGCGACTGCCCTCCAGGACCGGGCGGCCCTCGACAGCTGCGCAGGGGGCTACGTGTGGATCTCCCCGAGCACGGCCGTGAAGCCCGCCAGCTGTCATACTCCTCTGGCGTATCCCTGTGGCCAGCAGCCGCACGTCGGCTCGCATGCTGCGTTTGATAGGGCGCCGCGTTTCGGTTGCTGCTGTACTCTACCGTTTGAAACAAAAGTGTCTACGCACTGGAGATATTGGAGGGCAACGATCGGGGGCGACTGGCACAGGGGGGGAAACATCGACCTGGAATCGGCGATACATCGCCGACAGGCCCCAACAAATAAATCCGCACGTTCCTGGGCGGGCTGGGGCTATCGGGCCCCTATCGGCGATCAGTGGGCGATTCGGGATCGATGCATCCCCCCTGTGCCTATGCCCCCCCTGTCGTTGCCACTGAGACATGTTCCCTTGTACTCTTTTATGTTCTGGTTTATTCTGGACGGGCCAGAGCTGCGCCGCGACGCCCGTCACGTGTGACACGTCGTCCAGTCTGTCGTTGCTGCGCCTTTTTGCTCCCATGACCAAAGTGACTTCGGCGCGCAAGTCGTCGACATGGACAGGACGCCGCTAATCGCTCGCTGTTGTTCTGCTCTGTTCAGACATGGTCGAGTCTGGACTATCTGCGCATACGATGCTGCTGTGTTTTATGCTATGTAGTAGTCCCATCTTATATGTTACACATTACTATGTGGCATTGCTGTAGTTGCCGCAACAGCAGCAGAAGCAAAACACTGATGATATGGTATGTTATAGGCTGCTTTGCCCAACTCTACCACTGGTGTTACTGTTATGCTATGCTATGATGATATGATGTACACTGCTGAATAATACTATGTTGTGGTAGTGGTATGTTATAGTGTGATAGGGCATGCTGAAGGTTTGATTGTGTTGTGCTGTATTTATACTCACGTACGTTTTCTTCTATGCTGGATTGGATTCGCTGTCGTAGCGGTGGCAGTGGTAGAAAACGCCTGGAATGCTCTATTCAGTAATAAGATGATGTCCCGTTCTGCCACAATATTAAAACGTTGTTGTAAGGTATGTTATGGTTTGTGATGTCGTATACTATGTTATGTTCTTCAGTGTCGTCATATGCTAGGCTATGGCATGTGTGTGCCATGCTGTGCAATGCGATGTTATGATCACTCTGCTGTATGGTTATGTGAGTTGTGTTCGTCTACGCTCTGTTCTTTGATCCCCTTACAGTGCTTGCACTGAGGGATTCTTGCTTACTTGTGAAAGGGGACTGCACCTGCGCGTCGGTCTGGCGGTCTGTGGCTGCCGTCGCCGCCCCATCGCCGCCTCGTCGCCGCCCGCCGCCTCGTCGCCGCATTGCTTTGCATTGCTTTGCATTGCTTTGCATTGCTTTGCATTGCTCTGCACTGCGTTGCACTGCTCTGCGTTGCTTTGCAAGGCTTTGCGCTACGTTGCATTGCACTACATTGGTATATTTGCATTGCTCCGCACTGCTTTACATGTGTTTGCATTGCATTGTAGTGCCTGGTTTCTCTGCGGTGATCGTCATTCCTGTACAGTGCGTTGTTGCACTACATATCTTGCAACACATAGGTTGCACAATCCGCCGACCCCATGGGGTTCATCAGCGTGTGAGATGCTTCTCTCTTCACAAACTCCTCCCCCGGGAGCCCGGCCCGGTCGATTTGGAAGGGGGGGGGTCTCCCCCAGGCGGCCCGGGTGGGTACTTTGCTTCTGATTTTTTGCCGCGAGGGCATCGAGGGCCTCAAAACTGGCCACGAGGGCCCCAAGAGACATCCAAAACGGTCCAAGAGGGCCCCGAGTCGGCGAAACATCGTCCAAAGACGCCCAAGATGGCCTCCAGACAGCTGAAGATGCCTCCAAGATGTCCCCAGAACGTCCCAACAGCCGCCCAAGACTGCCCCAAGAGCCCCCCAAGACGGCCCAAGAGCCCTCCAAGACGCTCAAGATGGCCTCCAAGACGGCCCACGAGCCCTCCAAGACGTCCTCCAAGAAGGCCCGAAAAAGTCAAAATGGCCTCCAGGCGGCCAAGATGACCTTCAAGATGCCCACGTGTTCCCCGAAGGCTTTCCAAACCGATTCGGGGAACACATGGTCCGATAGCTTGGCAGGTCTGGCCTCAACGTTCGGCCACATAGGCGCTTCCAGAAAGGCAGGGGGCGGCGGTGATTCGCCGTAGGCGTCGTTGATCCGCCGCACCCTTTTTATTTAACAAAAGGAGTGCCTGGCGTGCCGGATTATATGGCTTTTGGTTTTGGTTACTTTTCCCCAAAAAACTCCCCCTGGGGCTTCGTCACGTCTCGTCGGCCAGCCGGAAGAGGTGGTTGCAAACGATTTTCCTGCCCCAGACGGCCCCTAGAGGGCCTCCAAGACGGCCAGGATGCCTCCAAGACGGCCAAGATGGCCTCCAAGACGGCTCAGATGGCCCCAAGATGCCTCCAAGACGGCCCAAGATGTACCCAAGACGGCCTAAGATAGCCTGAAGATGGCCAAAGACGGCCCAAGAGGCCCCCAAGAGGCCTCCAAGACGGCCCAAGAGGCCTCCAAGAGGCCCGAAGAAGTCAAAATCATGGATATCCCTTTGGTTTTTGAATGATGTTGGCATTTGCGCCTTTTCGGCTTTCCGACGGCCCCAGACGGCCCAAGAGACCCCCAAGATCGCCCGAAGATCGCCCAAGAGGCCTCCAAGATGGCCCCGTGACGGCCCAAGAGGCCCCCAAGACGGCCCCCAAGACGGCCCCAAGGGGGCCCCAAGACGACCCAAGAGGCCTCCAAGACGCCGAAGATGGCCTCCAAGATGCCTCCAAGACGGCCAAGATGGCCTCCAAGACGGCTAAGATGGCCCCAAGATGCCTCCAAGACGGCCCAAGATGCACACAAGACGGACTTAGATGGGCCCAAAAGGCCCAAGAGGCCTCCAAGGCCCAAGAGGCCTCCAAAAGGTCCTCCAGGAAGGCCCGCAGATGCCAAAATGATTGAGTTTCTAATGGTTTTTGAATGATTTTGGCATTTGCGCCTTTTCGGCTTTCGGTCGGCCCAAGACGGCCCAAGAGGCCCCCAAGGTCGCCCGAAGATCGCCCAACGACGGCCCAAGAGGGCCCCAAGAGGGCCCCAGGGCGGCCCAAGGGGCCTCCAAGACGCCCTCGATGGCCTCGAAGATGGCCAAGATGGCCCAAGATGGCCTCCAAGATGTCTCCAAAACGGCCAAAATAGCCTCTAAGACTGCTCAGATGGCCCCAAGATGCCTCCAAGACGGCCAAAGATGTACCCTAGACGGCCCGAGATAGCCTCCAAGATGGCCTCCAAGATAGTCAAGGTGGCCAAAGATGGCCTCCAGGTTCGCCCAAGATGGTCCAACATGGCCTCCAAGACGGCTCAGGAGAGCCCCAGATGCCTCCAAGTTCGCACAAGAAACCTCTCAGACGGCCCAAGACGGCCCCAAAGGCCTCCAAGAGGCCTCCAAGACGGCCCAAGAGGCGTCCGAGAGCTCCACCAGGAAGGCCC